CGTCGGAGACCTAGGAGGTGATGGAGGTGAAGGCAAAGATGAATTCGACCTATTGAAAACCCTACCACCGTCGAAACTCCTAGAACCTCCCGGTCAAAATAACTGAAGTGCCATCAATGGACGCCCTGAGCCACCGATGCCGGCGCCGCGCCAGGAGTTTGACCGAACTGCTATTACGATGGTTGCTACCGCGCCGCGCACCCCGGGCACTGCATTGGCTAGCGCTCTGCCTTGCAATTACCGAAGGCGTGACCACGAGCTAATGGACGTTATTTGCTGGGGATGTTCTGTCTGTTCCGTCTGTGCGAGACCGGCCTGTAATTGGTCGAGCGCGAAGTGATGTTCCGATATTTAAGATGATTTGTACGAAATATGTGAGAGAATGTGATCAATACAACTGTACGTATTTTTTCTCTGCATTCAACATTTCTCTTGTAAATTTAATATTCATTAATTACTTTGAAATTCTCAGATTAGTCTGCAATAAGTATGCTGTACTTTTCGTAAAGAACGATCAGTTATTATTTTTTCAAGTTCGTAAGGACAAAATAAATGAATCTGTGTCCTAAAATTCTCCAATGCTTATTATAATACGTACCACAATACTTTTCATGTATGTGTCCAATCCGTTTAGTGTGAATGGAATATGGTGTATGGCTGCTTTTAAATCTCAGATAGTGCAAAACACAACATTGATTGTTGAACATGACTAAGAATAAATAAATGCTTTGTTCTAATGTAAATGGCTTAAGAACGTTATAAATGGTTATTAAATGTATTAAAAGTTTAAAATTATTATTGCTGTGTAGATTCGGCTATGCATAGTGTTTTTTTCGAGTACATATGTATTAGATATTCCGTTTATTTGCGGCTCTTGTCTAGGTGATTCTTGACGTCATCGAGAGAAAACGTGAGGAATCTGCGTCTTTCTGGGACTTGAGGGCAGGCATGTACAGGGTCAGAGAAACGAGTGATAATAATTTCGTTTAGCAGCTCCAGGTGTCGTTGGCGCACCGCCGGAAGGGCACTAATGATGCACTGTTTTTGTGGTGACTTGACACACAGGCGAGACACTGAACGGCGGGAACAGGATGTCAAACCGTCTTTCCGGGTAACGAACCAGATTTTCGCGTTGCAGAAATAATGCAATTATATTACATTATTGCAATTAAATTGCAATCATGGTTGTGTTAAAAGAATGGACGAATCCATTCATGCAGAGAAAGAACATTTTTTTTGTATTGTGTGAAACCAGTGTCAAACTCAAAGGAGACACATTGCAAACGCAATTAGTCTTACATTTTGTAATAGTTTTGTAATTGAAACGGAGATTTCGAATGCTCGCCAAATCTGGAAAGATTTTTTAGGAGAAACAAAAAACATAAATATTATTAAAAGAAGTTGTTGAAACCAGAATTCTTTTACTTTCATGATTAGACATACAGTTGAGCAGTATTCATAGAAGATATAAATGTTTTATCACTGTTGCCGGTTGAGTTGTGTACAAAGTAAGTAGTCTTGGAATGTTTTTGTAATGATTAGTATCATTTTGAATAAACATGTTTCACTCCAAATTAATGAACATTTATTGGAAGATGACACTTTAATATAAAACAGTTATTACATTTCTAATAGATTTATTGAATTGTCTATAAATCAATCATAATATTTGTCTGATGCATCAGACTTAACAAGTCTTCTAATGAAGTTGATAGTATCTGGCTGAAAGTACTTCATGAGACTCTTAAAATTATCATTCTTTACTTTAATTTTGAATATGTATTCTATTGTACTGTAGTCTAATTTGCATGTATTGAGAGCCATATATTGTTCGTTGGCTGCAATAGTGGCACACCTCAAAAAGTTCATATTTTGAGTTAAAGCATTCCCCAGAACTGCAGATTAGTCCACTTTCCAGAAGCAAGAGAATTCAATATCTTGAATCTTACAGTCGACAAAGAAAACTTCGACAAAGAAATGGCAGAAGTGTGAATGCAAGAATGATGTATCAATTCCAGGTGAAGACTTCAAACGTATTTGCCTCGACACCTGTTATTTTCACTTGTTACACAATTGCTCGCAAACGATATTAGTATTCAAGATACGAAAGTACACTGGCACTATCTCATTCATTGTTTAGTCAATACTTTTTCTGCCATCTGACTGATTTAAAATTCAAACAGTTAACACTAAGAAGCGGCGAATCTATTTTTATCGTTCCTTAGCTTGGATTTTAAGTTCTTCTTAATTTCTGTTTTGCGTACTTTATCTGTTTGTAAGTAGTTTACAGATATTTTTTATTAATTTTATTGTAATAAGCACATCCTCAATGTTTTAAGTCTCCACCTTTGGTTGTGAGGTAAAAAGTGCCCTCATACTGGAAACATTTGAATAAATTAAAGAAAACTCAAGATGATTAGTGGTGATAGCAAACTCTTCGCAATTTCTGGAGCCAAATGGTTATGAAATTGCCATCAATTCAGATAATACATGGTAGTGAATAATTGTCGAGTATTTTCTGGAGTCTGTAA